ACAAATTACAATTTCCAATGTAATTTATATTTGTTTCAGCCTGAACTACAGATTCATTTTCTAGTTATGAAATATGAATTATATTTATTGTTTGATAGTTAACTGTTTTTTTTTTTTGAGGATATTTAATAAATTGTATTGGAAACTTAGCCTAAATTCACAGTCAAAACTCATAGGCGATTTCAACTAAAGATGTTCCGAGGAAAAAATTATAAATCGAGCACCGAGTATTGGCCGAGTAAAAATGTCAGTATTACACCGGGTACCAGGTAAAGTAAGAATAAAAATACAGTGTAAAGTCAGATAAGGGCCGAGTTTTAATTATTACATCGAGTACTCGGCTATCGAGTAATTGTCGGTTAACCAAAACACCTCTAAATTATATTAATTAAAAAAAAAATTAAAGGAATTACATTTTGCTTCCTCATCATCACCAATTCATTCGTTCGATTCATATTTTATAGTATTGATCGAATAAAAAAAATAAAAAAAATCTGAAGTTATAGATAAATTTAAAATTATAAGCAGACAAAACGCAAAGTAAGAACAACAGCAAAAATGATAATAAGTGAACCGTGACTGTCGATTGATGGGTGATGGCCGATGGGAAATAATGTGTTTTGATTTAAGATTGTTTTTATGTAATTTATTAATAAACCCATAATTTATTTTTTTAATTCTTAGAATAAAATTCCAGTTATTCACAATAACAATAACCAGCTATGGAAATTGGTTCGTTAATCCTAAATGTGCCAAAATAAATTACAACTCAGAACTTAAGATGTTCCATATTATATTAATATATGTACCTACATATTTTTATACACAGATTATCAGCCTGGTACCGGGTAAGGGCAGAGTCTTCATTATGATATCGAGTATTGGAGTATCGAGTAATTACCAGTCACCCGGATTACACATCTCTAATTTCAATGACTTTTGTTTACCATGTTTTCGTTTTTTTTTTTTTTTTTTTTTTGGGGGGGGGGGGTTAACATAGAAAATATTTTTAAGAGAAAATGGTTCATTAATACTAAAATTATATAAATATTTGGCGTTGGATATTAAATTATTTTATAAGAAAAAAAATTATAATGAATATTAAATAATATATGAACAATTAAGCACAAAAATACAAATTATGTTAATATAATTATAATAATTATAATTATATTATAATAATAATAAACATTTTTAACAATTATTTGAACAATTCAGCTAATAATTATATTTTGGTCGTCAAATATTGTAGTTACTAACTTGTAATTTTAGCATTCATTGTTATGAAAATTCATATCAATAAAATAATTCATACCATTTTTAACTTTTATTGAATAATCTGTTTGACAGACAACAATAATAGGATTTAAAATCAGGCGATTATTCAACCAGTATTCATTATTTCGTTTCACATCTTGCCTATTGCGTAGACACGTAGGTATTATACGTTGGTAGTATGATAATTTACGGATATTGTTTAAGTATAAAGCTGTTTATCGGGCATTGTCTGTTTATTGGAGTTGTAAACACTATTTACCGTCTCAAAACAGGTATTGGTGAAAAAATGTGTGCGTAGCGTTATCCGATTATGAAATAATGAATTTTCCATAACTTATATATGTATTGATAAATTAATATTTATGCGTGAAAGGACAATAATACAACAATTATATTGGGTAAAATATTAAATTGAAACCGATGCCTTTGCAACAACTCACAATAAAAACTCTGAATGCAGTGATTTATCATAATCGTAGTTTAAAAATTACCATCGTGTGTACCAGATATGGTAAACTTTTAAATACTTGATTTGTGATCGATCTCTGAGTTATTGTAGGTTGTCACGATCGACCGAAAAAAAAAATAAATAAAAGGTTGTCATTGCGCAAAAATATATTTTATAAACATGCATGTTGCATGCTACATATATATTTCTTCTGTTTAAAATATTAATATGTAATAATAACTTTAATTTTTCAATTTTGTATAACACATATTTTAAAATACTTTTTATCAATTTATACCAACACGATGAATACCGTTATTTAGTACGAAATATCCCTTAGATATAACATTATATATTACATACATATAACACATAACTGTGTGGTTATACATACATATAACCACACAACTACTCGATCTCGGTGAATAATTTCATTTTTCATTGTTATTTATTACTATTATATTATAATATAATTATATATTGTCTTAATTAATTGTTATTGATCTAATTTTATATTCGTGGGTCGAACAAAATTATAAAATGTACAAAAAAATAAATATTTAAATTTTTTTCTAAAAAAAATGAAAAAAAAATTAAAGGGGTCACGTTGGACTGGAACTCAAGTCGCGATCAACCTTTTAGGCATTCATGTTATATACCTTAGTCATGAATTGCATGCAAATTGGTTACTCTTAAATGTAATGTAATTGTAGAATATATATATATATATTCAACTACGAGCATGTAAGATCTTATTCAAAGTCTAAATTTTCATAATTTATCTAATAAAATATGTTTTAGTTATATAGTTAATTTATTAATAAATTAATTTTTTTATGCTTCATTACTATAAAATTATATATTTCATCGAATAATTAAATTTTTCTCCCTCGAATCAACGTTAATACGAAAAAAATAATTTTGTGGAAAAATATTTTTAAATAATGATTCCATACAACATTATTCTTGTAGTATAATGATTTTCAAAATTTTTTTCATTTTTATTAATTTTATTATTAATTTATACAATTCTTTGTGACCTTATCGAAATAATTAAATTATTTGATTTTTATTGATGTGGACCATTTTAAAAATATTTTTCAGTTATCATAGCCTAATTATTATAAGAACTGTAATTGCACTGTAATGTCAAGTTACATTTCATCTGAAATAGTAATTAATAAAGAGCAAAAACTTAAATAAAAATTAAAAAATATTCAAAAATTGTTGTTACTCTCCTATTTTTAAAGATTTTATAATTCAACTCATTTTCATTATACTATTTTTCCATTTCTTTTTTTTTATCACTTATTCCAAGCTTTTTACTAAATCACAACCATAAAATTAAATTGTATTCAATAATAATAATAGACATTTTTAAAGCTAAGATCAATTTTCTATGATATACTGACGTAAGATAGATGTACATAAATTGTTCGTGTGTAGATATTGAAAAATATAAAAATAAAAAGGAACTTACAGTAATTGACAGCGTCGATGGTATAGACAAATGACATGACAGATATTTATCGTCTTCGTCGTCGTTTTTTTTTAGGATTTTCTAGTAAATAAACGATAAACTCGTTAGAACATTCTTATTCACTGAATAAATATACAATGAAAAAAAATTATAGTAATAATAATAATAATATTCATATTAAACAATTGGTGGTGTACAAATCAGACATATGTATAAAAACAAATAACTTATTAATATTTTTGTCTTTTTTATTAGTTTCTATTAACCATGAAATTACTTGCATTATTCTTTTTTTTTTTTTTAAAATAAAAAAGTTTTTTATTCTTATTTTTACAAGTTAAGAGCATAGCAGTTTCACAACCAAATTGTCTGATTCATATTGTCAAATATACATCATATTAACTGAAATTGTTTAAAGATTATAGCTTAATCACATAAAATATTTTCTTTTAACTACATGACTAAAAATGATGTGTAATAAACGCAAGTAAATAGCTCAAAAAATGTGTTAATTTATATACAAATATTTTCACAGTTATTTGAATTTATGTTAGCATTGCCTTATAAAATTATTTTAAATCATTCTAAATTTTTATTTTAATATTTAATGATAAAAATCATATTTTATATGTACTCAGCAGGGAAACAAAAAACTATTTATAGATTTTCATTTCTTTTATTGAAATATTATTCCCCAAAGAATATCATAGTATAGCGATGAATCTAATTTTCTTATGGAAAATAAAAAATGAAAAACTTTAAACTATAAACTTAAAACTGTTATTTAAAAATCACAGACAATAAATATTGTAATATCACTTCCGCTTTAAATTTTAATGATATATTATTCTAATATTTACAATATTATTTCAGATTGATATTATGTTTATAAATGTATCCAATATCCATTTTTCATTTTTAGGAAATATATTGTCATTTTGAAAATGTCAATAGTTTTATTTTCGTGTTATTACTAATTGTAATTTAAAATCAAAGTTTTTTTCTTCTTATTTCATTGTTTAAACTACATGGTTACTAGCTTACAATTGTTTAAAGGGGTGTACTTGGATTATTTAGATATATGGAGTGATTTTCTCCATTCGATTTACATTATATTAAGTTGTACAATTCAATTATTTTTAAAAAAAGAAATATTTTTTGCAGTCTGAATAAGGTCCAATTGCTTCGTACAAGTTATTCAGACTTTGACATTCTTCTCTGACCTTAAATTAAAGTTTTATTATATAGGTATTCAGTTTATAATTTATTATACCAACCATTACAAAAAATACTTTTTTTTCTAGTTTTCTTATTTTTAAATGTATATAAATGATACTATGTAGCTACTACATATTTTTTTTTAGTGACCCACAAGACCCAAAGTATATTTCACTATTCTGTCTCATTTCCCCACCTAAGTGAATAAATTTTCCAATTTAAAATAAAATATTGTAAATCATTTTACACATTTTTTTTAAAGTAAAACTAATAAAAATCATTCTTTGGGGCAAACATAACGTTAGAATTTAATGGTAAAGCACTACATAGGAGATAACAAGGTTTCGCCGAAGTCTGAAGTGTATGTGAGAATAGAAAAACAAATAATGAGTCTACGGATCTCATATGACCACTATGTATCAAAGACTGACTCGAACGGAAAGGAATTGAGGAAATATTTACACGTATTTAACGAGAATCATTCGTCGATTTTACTTTAAATTTGAGTTGTCTGTCTGTTTTGATAAGGAAATAACATTCTACCATGTACTTAGAAATCTTGTTTTCTTTATTTAGGATCTCCATTTTGGTGTTTGCTGGACATTGTACCGATCAAAAATGAAAAACGAGAAGTGGTGTTGTTTTTGGCTTCCCATAAAGACATCACACATACCAAAATGGCGGAAATGCACGTCGGTATGGACTACGATCCAGGTAAGATCGACACGATTTATACATATAGAGTATACTCGTACTTAGGTATTCCTTTTAGAGATTATATTACAAACCCATTCACCGTAATAAAATCGAGTAAGTCAATACATTAATATTTTAATCAAATATGTCAATAAGTCATTAGGAAACAGATTGGTGCCTATTTAATTTGATATTTGAATAACTCAGTTCATTTAAATTTTAGTATAAAATAAATGAAAAAAAAGTTGACAAATCGAGTAGAATAGAATACAGTTTTTTAACTATTCAATTTCATCAATAACGTGTTTATATATTGTATTTCAGCAAAATAAATGATCTTTTATTTTACTGCTCAACATAAAGCTATCAGTGTGCCTAGTAATACACAAAGTTTTAAAAATATAGAATTTTTGGTTTGTCAGTTTTTTTACAAATGTTTAAAGTTTGAGTTATAAGTTGTTATAGAGTTATCCAATGACTGGTCGTTTTGTTAAAAATCATGATTAATTATTTTTTATTACAAACTTATAAAAAAACAGCAATTTATATTTTTAAAACAAAAAAAAAACAACAGTGGATCTTATTTATATACCATTGAAACTATAATTTAAAAAAAAAAATCTTGCATTGAATGCGATTTTAAAATTATTTGTTTTCCCAAGTTTGTATTTTATTTTGTATTAATGTTAATTAATCAATTATACAATCAAATTGATAATCAATTATATAAAAAAAAACGCTTAAGTTAAATTTGGTCAATAAGACATACACTCAATTTACAATTATATATATTAGAATGTATAATATAACAAATTAAATGAACGAATACACAAAGCTGATCTGTTATGTTATTTTTATTGATTTAAGCTTCGACTACTATGGCCGTTGACTAATAGTGGTAACGATGTAATTTTAGTAGGTTTCTTGTTGATACATTAATGTTGATTCTTGGAAACATGTATTTTGAGGACATTGCTTGGTCATCAAAAACTTGGACCGTTAACGGCCAATGTTTTACACACAGCACTTACAGTGCTGTGGCTAATCAACGCACCATACTATGCCCTCTAACTTGTTATGATTAATCAGCTTATCCCATTATGGTTTGTCTTTTTTTATATTTTTTTTTCCATCATTCTTTATTTTTTGTATAAAATATGATCTATTGTTTTAAAAAATGCAGTGAAAATTACTCTTGATTGATATGAGATTATTTTTTCGTGTTATAAGAGATATCAATGACATGGCTGCTTTTGTCTCGAGAATAATTTTTAGTACCAATCAACCCGTCGTACGGCGCACGGGGTAAATAATTACCCCAGACTTATTTATATTGTGTATAGGTAATAAAATAATGTATTTAGGTGTTTGTCCTCCTCAATAGCTTTAAATAATACTTCTATAAATATACTGTTTGTTGTTTCATGTTATTTTTATACATTTTATTTTATCTAGAACGTATTATAGTCGTATACAGTGATATCTGAAAATTATTTACCCTGGGTTTTTGTTTTTTTAAAATCATAATATTTTTTAATCGCTCCGTAGAATTTCTGTATATCTCTCACAAGTACCTATTTTTAACTTATTACTTTGAAATGTTCAATATTATTCAGTCATAATACGGTGTTATCAAAAGCGAATATACTTGTAAAATATTGGCGTCGAGGCCATATTCACTACAGGAAAATACTATTATCTTTTTTTAAAAATAGACTAAAATTAAATCCGATCGAGTTATTCGATTCTTAAAATAAATATGAATAGCAACAAGAAAAATAGATCAATGAAGTTCAAATTATAACATACTATAGTGAATAACCTTGGGGTAAAAATTTACCCCGTGCGCGTAAATATGATATGCAGATGGGAATGGTGGTGATATTTTCTTTTGAAACAGTGAAACAGTCTTCCTCCATCCGGAATGTAAAACCACCGGAAGCCGGATATAAACTGACCATTATACGTTTAGACTCAACCGCTTCATTGCCACGACCCCCCATTCACCCACGGATTTTTTTATGCAACATGCGAGTTATTACACAATGCATTTATTTTTCATATAAACATTTTCAAGTCCAATAATCTGTCATGAAGAATCTTAAGCGTATAATATTTTTTGCATCTTATAGTGGGAACACGTATACGGGGGTCCCTTTTTTTTTGTTGTGCACAAACTAACATATATTTGAATGTTTACCTGTTGTGTCTCACGTGGAAACCTTTCGAACCTCGTTTTTTTTTCAATGTCAATAATTCATTATATTTTTCAAATTTATACAAATAATATTGCTAACATGACACCCATCTTTGCAATACCTATACAAGTTCGAAGTGTGATCCACACTCCTGCTATCCATTATGTCAGTGATCATCAGTATTCTGTTCGTGAAGTGAAAAGATGAAGGACAAACACTTGGTATTGATGTCATTAACGGTTTTTCATTTCCAATTTTTCACTAAATAACATTACCCATGTACTTAGACATTTATTTTATTATCAGAATTATAAAGTTTACAGTTGTTTCAGTTTATATTTAGACAAGGGTGTATTGTAAACTAATTTTCATTTAATACTTTTTTATTTGGCGCAATTATAATTTTCAATTAAAGTAAACAATAATATAAGTTATCTAATAGTCTATGGGTTGAAATGGTACTATTAGAATTATAAAAATACTAAATTTTTTAAACAGTTCATGGTGTTAAACAGTAAATAATGTATCAATCATTTCATAAATCATATATTTTTAACAATTCTTCCTTTTAACTTTGACCGTTTTAACTAAATTTTAATAAATTTAAATAGTATATTTTAATCTAATTTGTATTTTAAATCTTAGAGCTAACTATTTTAAAATACGAATAATATTTCCGTCATTATTAGCATTTTTATTTTATTATATTTTAAACTTACATTAATTAGCAATAACTTTTAGTTTTAGTACCCAGTATATCTATATTCTATTGTTATAACTGTTAACCTTAGTTAAAACTATATTTTTTTTGCATATGCTATTTTTTATATTAATTCTATAGTTTGTATTTTTAAACTCTTAATTTCATATAAGTAGTACTACTTAAGAGGTGATTAATTAGATAATTCAATTATAGTTTAGCATATTTCCTACGTAGAAGCAATATATTTTAGTCTCAACATTTCATTGGCGAGTAATATGCTTTGGTTGTACATCTAAGTGCATAATACCTATTCGTTGTTACTGAGCCAAACGTCTTTTATTGTACTCCAGATTTGATTTTTTATACGTCATCAATTCTAAATCTGTATTTTTGGTATTCATTTTTATCAATATAAATGTTGATTTATTAAATAACCATAATAGTTTTTACTTACTATTTTTTTAAATGTATTAACCATTGTGCTAAGTAAAGTAGTTGATTTATATTAATGTGTTAGATGTTTGTATTGTTCTGGTTTGAAAATTGGTTTTATAAATCCTTTTTTTTTCTATTATGATATTATAATATTAGTTGAATTTCATATGCAGTTATATATATTTAGAAGATTTTTTTTAATCATTTGCCCATGTTTTGTAGAAAAATTAATTAATTTTTTTTGTTATTGTATTTATAAAAAGTTTTTTTTTGGCCTTTTACCATTATATTGTTAAGATACCAAAAATTGATTATAGATAAATTGAAAATATTATCGACATAATATTGGAATCTTTGGAATCTTGTAAGCCTTATTTGTTATGTAGTTTTAAAATTTCATATTTAAGAAATTAACCTATACCTGTATATATTTATATTATACATTATGCAATTTACAAATAATACAATATAATAATTTGTGTAAATATTGACATTTTAATTATATGCTGTATTATAAGTACCTAATAATAATTAATTTGTAGTTGAACCAAAAATAGTGGTGTCTATTATGCATAAATGATGTCAAAAAGAAGCAACTGATTGTGTATTTGTTATCATTATTTTAGATTTTTAGTTTAAACCCTCTGTATGGTTTTAACGAAATTGGATTCGTTGATTAACCCATAGCATCAAAATTGTATTATATGTCTAGGAATTCTTAAAGATCACAAGAACATGTTGAAATTCTAAATTATGGTATTAGAGTTACTTAAGTACGTTATTTTTTCACTTACAATTATAAACGTGCATTGTATATATTTGGTACTTTTAGCTGAGAGGGATAATATTGCAAGACACTCTTTCCTCTTTCGTAAAATAGCAATTTATACGTGTTAACAGTGGCGGAACTGGAATTTATTTCGAGAAAGGAAGGGGGCGTTATACATTTGAAAAAAATTAAAATTTCGAAGGTGTTCAGTGGGAAAAATGAGCTAAGGTTAAGTTAATTACAAATTTCCCGGGGGGGGGGGGATTCCAAATTCCCTTAGTTGCGCTACTGCCTGTTATAATTACATACAATTTATTTTGAAACTTAATATGATTTTTCCTATTTGAAATTGTAACTTATGGGTTTGGAGAATTGGTTAACATTTTAGAAAATGTAATAGATTTAATAATTTATTTCTTAATAAACGTCAAACGAAATAAGATAGAAAGAAAGATACTGTTAACATTGAATATCAAATTAGTATGCCTATGCATATTATTTACCAACATAACTATGTTACAAAGGATTTTTATTTCAGCTGTATATGCAAGTATTCAAAACGTATATAGAAATATGGGTTTAATGAAAGGTTTAGGACAGCTAGAAAACTACGTTATTAGTTATGAATTGTTAAGAATGTTATATTTAAGTTATATTCATTATATTTAATATAAAATGATTGAGTGTTAATATATTAGAACAAAAGAAAATAAATTCAATTTTTTAGTTTCTTACTAAATACTAAATTTCTAAATAAATAACTATTTCTCTTTTTATTTCATTAATGGATATTGTTATTTTCTTATCTATTCCAGTTGTAAATCAACTATATCTATGGACATATTCTAAATGACGTTAATTTATTAAGACTTCGAATAAAGCAAATATGTTAATGAAACTGACTTTGCTTAGT